CTTCCCATCTTTTTCTCCTTCCCTTTTTTCCTCCTTTTCCCCTTTTCTTCCCTCCCTTTCTTTTTTTGCACTAACAATGCTGCATTGCTTTTATACATATGTCCTTTAGTGTTTTTATGTATTCTATGAACATTCTCAAAAGTAGATTGTTGGTTTAAAAGGTCTATTTTTATTTTAATAAATGTTGACACATTTTTAAAACACTAGCAATTTACATTACCATCAGCAACATTTTGAATGTACATGTATGTGCTGCCTCCTTCCCTGTGACTTCAGCTTTTTTTCTCTGGATGTTCATAAACTTTTTTAAAAATTTTGAAACCAGGAAATTCTTACTAGGTTGTATCTCCCTGTTGATTCTTTTGCTCATTGTTTCGCCTGGGACACTGCACCCTTTCCACAAATTCATCTTTTATTTCTTCAGTATTTTCTTAATTATATCTTTAAATATTTGTTCTGTTCCATTTCTTTGGTTCTGTTCTTCAGGAACCAGTCATGTAGATGTTGATTTTCCTTTATCTGACTTCCATATCTGCCATTTTCCTTTTGCTCACTGTTCTTTGTCTTGCCCTCTAAATGTCTTACCATGTTTTCAGACTCCTCTTTGTTGTTTTTTCCAATGTGAGCTTTATTTATTTGATGGTTTTTTTTTTATTTCTCAGTTTAAAAAGCACATTTTGCCACATGTGAGCAACTACCATATTGGACATTACAGCTTTAGAAGAGGATTAAAGGCTTGAAGTTGGTGACTTGACTCATTCCCTTATTCTTCAGAGACCCAATTCCCCAAAGCATCTTTAAGGAAATCAGGTTTTAAAACAATTTGAAAGCCACCGTGATAGCAAAACCACATCATCATGGGTGAGTTTCATGTAGGAGTGACCAGGGAGTCTAACCTCTGGCTGCAAAGTTTGGGGATTCTGTACCCGAAATTTTATAAAGGTACTTGGGGGATCTTAACGCAGACTAGGGTTATGCTAAACTTATCAATTGAATTAAAAGAACTGTTGGAAGAAAGCCTTTTTATAGCACGGAAAAAGTCCCTGGATCATGGATCCAGTTGTTCTAGAAGAGGAGCTGTGGCTGATACTAGATCCATTCCAGTGGCAGAAATGGGAGCTTAGATGGTCATAGTTTCCTGGTTCTGATCCCAGGCTTTCCAATTAGGACTCACATGATGACATGGGGAACAGCATGTACTCACTGGAGAATCCCACTATATATCCTGTCTGGAAGGTGTATTCACTCAAATAAGTTGCCATCATGATTAGAAATTAGTTCCTTGCCAAATGCCCAGCTCAATTCTAATTTCAGAAACACAGACTACAGGAGATTTCTGACAGCTGCAACATTAAGGGAGGTACTTAGGACCATACTGATTCCACCATGGCACTGGAACCCCTAAGAACCCAACTGACCCAAGTAAAGACAGTCCTGAGGTAAATTCCTTAAGATATGAGGGGTCTAAGGAACATTTCTGGAAAGACAAGAAGGATTAATGTGTGATACAGATTAGCAGTACAAAATGAACTTCCTAATTGGGCTGGGGTTGAGGCTCAGTGACAGAGCACTTGCTTCGCATATGTGAGTCACTGGGTTCAATCCTCAGCACCACATAAAAATAAATAAACAAGATATTGTGCCCATGAATAACGAAAAATAAACATTTTTTAAAAAAAGAATGAACTTCTTAATAGTGCTGGTTCACTTCAAAAGGAATTGTTAATTCCCTACATCAAGTTACATTGGCTTTCTGCTATTGCATTATAGTGCCACCTCTAGTATATAAATTGAAAATCTAGCTTCTTAAGTTTTTGGTTTCTAGTCATTTGCATTAAAGCAATTTCGATTGGGGCCTGGTAGGTTCTATAATTTGTATTCTATTTTACATTTAAGGAACCAAATTCCTGGGATATCTAAGGGATGTATGCTGGTAGCCCATAACCCAAAAATTTGCCTCTAAATTTTTTGAGTTTGGGCTGCTTAGAACTTGATTCTCACTCCATCTTCCGTCTTTCATCCACACCTGTGGGTGGTCCATGGGAATCAGGAATCCAAAATCTTTGCTCCTACCTCCAAGGCAGAATAAACCAGGTTTTTCTTTCCTAGTATATAGTGTAGTCACCAATGTTATTGTTAAACCATTTTGTCAAGAGTAATTATGTAGCCAGGCAATGTGGCACATGCCTGTAATCCCAGGGGCTAGGGAAGCTGAGGCAGGAGAATGGTGAGTTCAAAGACAGTCAAGGTGGGCTGGGGATGTGGCTCAAGCGGTAGCGCGCTCGCCTGGCATGCGTGTGGCCCGGGTTCGATCCTCAGCACCACATACAAACAAAGATGTTGTGTCCGCCGAAAACTAAAAAAAATAAATAAATATTAAAATTCTCTCTCTCTCCCTCCCTCCCTCTTTTAAAAAAAAAAAGACAGTCAAGGTAATTTAGTTATTTAAATTACTGTAACTTGCACCAAATATGTAAGAATATATTATCTTTTTAGCTTTAATATAGATGTGATTTCTGATAGACTTTACAAATACTAAAAATAGTTTCCAGGTCCTCTTCATTTTTTAAAGGATCTTTGGGGATTTGGAAGAAATAATGGATTTTAAGATTTTAAGTTACCACTGAGATGGAAGGAAATCCAGTGTCTTCTCAGCTGGGTGCAGTGGTACACACCTGTAATTCCAATGACTCGGGCTGAGGCAGGAGGATCAAAATGTCAAGGCCAGCCTGGGCAATTTAGTGAAAGCCTCAGAAACTTGGCAATACCCTGTCTCAAAGAATAAAAAGGACTGGGGATATAGCTCAGTGAAAAAGTATCCCTGGGCTCAGTCCCCAGTATCAAAAAATAATAAAATTTAAAAATAAAAGTTCAATTACTTCTCAAAAATAATTAAGTTACAAGTCTTGATTATTATATACTTTTTTACAAAAAAGCTCTATACAGTTTTTAAAAGATGTTAAAACTTTTTTTTTCATTTAATTTTTTTGTACCAGGGACTGAACCCAGGAGCATTTAACCACTGAGTTAATCCTCAGCTCTTTTTTTTCTTGGAGATAGGGGTCTAAGGCCCTAAGTTGCATAGGGCCTCCGTAAATTGCTGAGGCTAGTTTTGAACTCATAATCCTCCCGCCTCAGCCTCCTGAGTTGCTGGGATTTACAGGCATGAACTACTGCACCCAGCATATTTTTGCACTGAGAACATTATCTTAAAATATAAGGTAAGACTACAAAAGCAGCATGACAGATTTCCTCTGTTACTTGAAAACTGGATTAAGAGGCAAACTCCAGATTTCAGAAACACTGGAAATATTATAATTTTTGTTTATAATTAGGATAACTGCAATAAATAAGGAGTCAGAGGATCTGGGTTCTAGTTGCCATTTTGTGTGATATGATCTTCAATAATTCTCCCAACTTCTGGATATCAGAAACCTCATCACAGAGCAAATGTTTAAATCAGTCATCCTGAATATCCTTTCCAGCTATATTATATTATAATACCATGACATCAGAATAACAAGTTTCAGGCTGTTTGAAGTCAGGAATTTTAGAACCTGTATTCAAGGTACAGTGCTCTTAAAAATTTAATTTTGGAGGCTGGGGATGTGGCTCAAGCGGTAGCGCGTTCGCCTGGCGTGCGTGCGGCCCGGGTTCGATCCTCAGCACCACATACAGACGGGGATGTTGTGTCCGCCGATAACTAAAAAATAAAAATTAAAATTCTCTGTCTCTCTCTCTCTCTTTAAAAAAAAAAAATTTAATTTTTTGTGTGTGTGGGTGTGTGCCAGGGATTCAACTCAGGGGCACTTGACCACTGGTCCACATCTCCAGCCCTATTTTGTATTTTAGAGACAGGATCACACTGAATTGCTTAGCACCTTTTGCTGAGGCTGGCTTTGAACTCTTGATCTTCCTGCCTTAGCCTCCTGAGCTGCTGGGATTACAGGTGTGTGCCACCACATCCAGCATAAATTTCTACTTTTTGAGTCTTTACACACACACACACACACACACACACACACTTTTTTTGGTTCTAATTAGTTATACATGATAATAGAATGCATTCTGACACATCATACATAAATGGAGTATAACTTCTCATTCTTCTGGTTGTACATGATGTAGGATCACACCAGTCATACACATCAAATCACATCCCCATATATGCACATGGTATTTATTCTACTATGCTTGCTTTCTTTCTTTTTTGGTACTGGGGATTGAACTCAGGGCCACTTGATCACTGAGCCACATCTCCAGCCCTAGTTTGTATTTTATTTAGAGACAGGGTCTCACTAAGTTGCTTAGCACCTCGCTTTTGCTGAGGCTGGCTTTGAACTTGAGATTCTCCTGCCTCAGCCTCCCGAGCTGCTGGGATTACAGGCGTGTGCCACCACACGTGGCCATTCTACTATCCTTTCTACTCCCATATCCCTCTTCTCCCTTCACTGCCCTCTGCCTAATCCAAAGTACGTCTAGTCTTCCCTAGCTACTCCCCTTATTGTGAATTAGCATCTACATCAGAGAAAACATTCAGCCTTTGGGTTTTTGGAATTGGCTTATTTCGCTTAGCATGATATTCACCAGCTCCATCCATTTACTGGCATGTGCCATAATTTCATTCTTCTTCAAGGATAATATTCCATTGTGCATCTATCCCATAATTTCTTTATCCATTCATCTGTTGAAGGGCACCTAGGCTGGTTCCATAGTTTAGCTATTGTGAGCTAAGCTGCTATAAACATCGATGTGGCTGTATCACTGTAGTATGCTGAGTGGGATAACTGGGTCAAATGGTGGTTTCATTGTAAATTTTCTGAGGAATCTTCATATTGCTTTCCATTGGGGTTGCACCAATTTGCAGTCCCACCAGCAATGTATGAGTATACATTGTTCCCCACATTCTCACCTCCATTTTTGTGTATGTGTGAATTTAAATATATTTTTCCTATTAGCCGCCTCTTCATTGATAGAAATTAAAAAGTCCTTCAAGGATGTACTTTTCATTTTTTGATTTTATTTTTTTTCGGCTTCCTTTTTTAATTTCTCCAAGATTTCTTCTGCAGTTGTAGAGGCCAAAAGCTTCACCACCTTTTCACGAGATTTACCACCCTGAATCAAAAGAAAGAAAGCACAGTAAACATTCTAATGCTTTAAGGGACAACAGACTTCCGTTGTACCCATCACAGTCATATCTTCATGGGGACATTATAGATGGCTTATGTACACTTTCTCCTGACCACGTCTGGTCCAACCAAAAACTATCTCTTTGCTTCCACCTGACTATAGATTTTTACAACTCATCAAGGTTTTTAGTTTTATACCTTAATTTCTAAAATGATAAAAGTTTGGCATCAGAATTTCAAAATGATGAATTACAATATTCTAGTTTCAAGTAACTCTTTTGTTTAAAGATGCAAATAATTTTAAAATACCAAAGTAAATATTGCATTTTCTAGAAACTTTGCATAATCTTAAATAAAAACAAGTTGCTGGGCTGGGGTTATGGGTCAGCAGTACAGTACTTGCCTAGCATGTGTGAAGCACTGGGTTCTTCAGCAACATATAAAATAGATAAATAAATAAAATAAGGGCAATGTGTCCATCTACAACTTAAAAAGTCCAAAGAGCCACTACAATATCCAAGTGCTATGATTTCACTATCACTTAAAATAATTTTTAAAAAGATATGTTCTCAAGCACATCTTTTATTTATTTATTGGGGGGGGGGGTATTGGGATTGACTCAGGGGCACTCAACCCCTAAGCCACATCCCCTGCCCTATTTTGTATTTTATTTAGAGACAGGGTCTCACCAAGTTGCTTAGCACCTCGCTTTTGCTGAGACTGGCTTTGAACTCACAATCCTCCTGCCTTAGACTCCCAAGCCACTCAAGCACATCTTTTAAAGATAAAATCTGAACAGGAATTTATCTAGATGGGCAGAATTTGTACAGGTAGAAAAGTGGGGAGACCCTTTCAGGCAAATGTCCAAACATGAGTACTGGCAGAAATTAAGAAATGACCTGCCACAGCAGTTTATTTATCGAGGTGCAGTTTATTTATCAAGGATATTGAATGCCACCAGATATGATCTATATTACATAGCATTGAAAATCAAGTAAAACTTCAAGATATAAGTATGGCTGGGTCCTACACTTACATACTCAATTTCAAGATTCTGCACTCTAAATTCTATGTTTAAGGTAATGCCCAGGAACCTGTATTGAGAATCATTCCTCAGTGATTTTAAAGTACAAAACCATGTTATTAATGACTACATATGAATCCACTAACTTCCTGATGAGCTTCTTCTAGTGAACAAAGACAACATGGAGGATTAGAAATACCTGATGAACTCTAATGGAGATGACAACAAGAAATCATTTTACATTTTTTTGGTGTGGTGATGTCTTAAAGAAGAATTGCAATGGGTTTGGGAAGGAAGAAAATGCTAGAAATTGTGGCAACTAAGGAATCTAAGACAGTATAGACAACTCTGAATAAGGACTCAGGCAGCAGAAACACAGGAAACTACACAGGAAGAATTCAGATTTTTGTAATTAAATGAATATGTGAGTTAAAAACAAACTGGTTTTCCAAATAATGTGAAGAAGCAAATTAATATTTTATCATGATTATGTGGCAATAATCAAAGATGTTTGAAAAAGAGAGAGACCTACCTTATCCAAAACCACATCACTCCTCCTGAGTTCTAAAACCTTGGAAAGATACCGACAGAGCTCAGCATTAGCCTCTCCATCTGACGGAGGTGCTGCAATAGCTACATTTACGGCTTCAGTTGTCAAATCTGGAATGAAATGGTATGTACTGTATCCTTGAGTTGCTCTTTTTCTTCCTAAAGTGAGGCAGTTTTATAAAAGAGCTTGCATTTGCCTGCCACATACTAGATTTTTGATTAATAACTGTTGGATTGGGTTTAATCCCCAGCAACAAAACAAAAAAAACTGTTGAACTAATCTTACTTCAAGGAACATAAACATGATATATATGCAACTACCATTATAAAATAAATCCAGAAAAGAAAATAAATATTTGTCTATCCTGCTGACCAAGATGGACTTAAGAGTCCTGGAGAGCATCCTGGATTTAGGCAACTAGAAGCTGCACTTGGCCTAATAGAAAGAGCTCCAGGCAGGGAATTAAATTAGCTGAGCTTCAGCCCCAATAAGGTAACTAAGGAAGTGCATGAGCAAGGCAGCTTGCTGGATTGTAAAGGGTTGTTTGGGTTTCCACATCAGGAAAAGGAGAACAGTGGGATAGGTTCATCTCTTATGTGAGATGCATCTTAAGTGCTTTGAAAATTTGATAATGTCTATTTAACATTTACATAGTATTTACTACCCACCAATTTGAAGCACACATGAATATACTTGAAGGGCTCTACACATATTAACCTAAGCCTCATAATGACTTTATAAAGAAGATAGTAACACCATTATTATCTCCAATTTACAAGTGAGGAATTTGGAATCAAGTAATGTGCCCTATAGCTCTGCACGCACTATTATTAAGAAAGGGAAATATTTACTCAAAGCAGTTTACAAATGAGCTTGATCCTGCATATGGGGTTGCTCAGGCATTTCCACCCACTTACACCCAATGTAAACAACATGGCCAGAGAATCCACAAGAATGAGGTCATAAAACAACCCTCCTCCCATCCTGTCACCAATTCTCAGATGCTCAGTTTTTTACCTACAATGCGAAAATCAAGACATGTCTTATAGTAGATGGAAAAGAAAGTGTTTATGTGAATTTTTGTCTTACTAAGGTACATAAAATACTTGTGTACTATAGAAATGATACCATCTTAGATTGATACAATAAATGCTGGCCAAGGGGGTGTACCCAACAGAGACAAGCTAACATGGCCATTAGTACAAATAAGGCCTATCTAGCACATCAATTTGAGGTCTTATTTTCAAAATATAAATATAATTTGGTATACAAAGCTTTAGAAGTAGAAAAGATTTTCAAGACAATTCAGATAAATGGTTTTTAAACTTTTATCCTTTAAAATCCTTCATTTTTTCCAATTGTCTCTGAAATCCCAATATTTAAAACAAAAGTAAACACATTTACAGAAGCCAAGTAACTGGCTGGCCTTTCTCCTTCACCAGAAGAGATTCCTGAGGCATGTCTAGGATTTGAGGGAATAGCTTGAAAGTCTCTTTGTCCAACTATCTAATCTGAAAAATGATAAAACTGGGCCTAGAAATGTTTTATATTGTTTTGACTTAAAAACAATTTCATGTAGGAGTTGATGGGGGTTTTAGATCTGATTTTCTCCTATTCCTTAGGTCAGTGATCACTAAATGAGACAGAAATGCCTTTCTTTCTCTGGCCATTGTATTTTCAGTTTAGAGATAGGAAAAATTAAGAATAATCTAAGGCTGGGGTTGTGGCTCACTGGTGGAGTGTTTGCCTAACATGTGAGACACTGGATTTGAGTCTGAGCACCACATAAAAATAAATAAAATAAAGGTATTGTATTCACCCACAACTAAAAAATATATATATATATATATTAAAAAAGAATAATCTAGGCTATACATAAGTGTCTTTCTTAAAATACCACATTTTTACCAATATATCATTAGAAAGGAAAAGACAATAGTTTTCATCAAACTGGGTATAATTTAAATATCATGTATTCAATTTCAAATACCTTTACATGAGAATCTAGAATTTTAACATGGAGAAAGCTCTAAATGCAAATGTAAAAATATACTCAACTGTCATAGGATCAACTGTCAGCTAAATGAGGCAAAGGGAAGGTGGAAGGGACACTTGATTCACACAAGAATCCCAACCCATTGTTCAGGTGTACCTGTTACAGCATTTTGTTTGGAGCCAGGTTTGGCATGGATGGATATGGTAACACAACCTTTAGGATCGACTGCCACAGGACCTAAGGGAGGAAGTGGTCTCTCTGCTTCCTTGCTTTGGCTTTTACTCTAAAATAAGAAACATAATTGTACAGGTTAAAAAATATTTCCCCACACATTTAATTTGATTCTTCCACTACTCCTCTTCACCTTTAATCAGAACAAAGTAGGCTTATTAGTCAGGGACTTCTGATTCAGAATGTTTTTCCCATGTCCTTCAAGGATTATGCCATGAAGTTTTCTTATCAACACCACAAAATATTTTTTCCTGCTTTGGAAGAAGACCCAACTCTGGCTTCCATACCTTAGTGCTTTGATTCACCTGCTTTATACTTCCCATTCCTCAGAAGCAGGGACAATTTACTACTATTCATTTTTGTATTAGATGTGGTCTAAACCTGAGTGTGTCATGTGTGTGTCTGGAGGAGATGAAGTGGAACGAACCATAGTGATTGACATTTAAAGACTGTGCTAGGAACTTAGAATCCATTCGAAAATTACAAACTACTTAAGAGGGCAGTATGAAGGCAATGGATATATGAAGATGACACAAGGTCCTTGCCCTCATGGAGACTAGACTGCAGTGAGAGCGAGAGAACGAACACAATTACAGTACACTGGGCTAAGTGCACCAAGAATATGCACACAGGGAGGAGGAAGGTAGCCCGCCTTGGGACAGCGGGGAAGCTGCTAGCAGGAAGCGAGTTGGAGTTAGCCACGCAAAGACGGTGGAAGAACAGCCTTCCAAGCGAGAACAGGCGTCCGGCTCCTACTGCACCCGGTGGATGGCGAGGACAAAGTAGCCCAGGTGCAGGAGGAGGACTGAGCCCAGGTGCGGGGTGAGACGCAGGGCTGAGACACAACCAGCCGCCCGAGATGCCTTCCACACCCGCTCCGGGAGCAGCCCGGTGGCCCGCCCTCTCAACGCCATGGGGCTTGACACTAGCCTTGTTCGTCGCACTAGCTTTCTTTGGCATCTCGGCGCCAGAAAAGGAAGCCCGGGTGCCCAGTCCGGCCCGAAGAGACTTAAACCGACCACCGAGCCGCACCATCCTTCTGGGAAGGTGCTGCTAGGCGGCCCGGCACCGGAAATGTGCTGTGCGCCTGCGCAAGCAGCATTGACAGGCGGCCTGACTACGGAAGGGAGGTCTGCGCCTAAATGCGTAGCGGGGATGGCCCCGACGCCCCAGCCCTCGTCCAGCCCGAGAGCGACTCCTCGCGGCCGGCGGGAGACTCCTTGTCTCGAACCCGGGGGTCTGAGGTCTGATTGGGCCATGACCCTTGTCCCCTCGCTAGTGGGAAAGGCGCGTCACCTCTGGTCTTTGCTCACGAGGGGAAAGAGGAAGGTATCCCTGCTTCTCAAGATTGAAGTGTGCTGCCTGGAGAGCACGGAATCAGTGTCATCTCGTCTCTGCAGCCAACGCGCAAGGATAGACAGAGCTCACCTGCTTCCCAAGGCCACAGGTCGAGGGCTTGGCCTTTTCCATGCACTGAGAGTGCAGCTCCTTTGCACCCAAGGCGGTTAGGATCCCTTGATGTAAAAGGAGAGGAAATATTCTATGACGCGTAATATGGCTACACATGAACTGGAAAAGTCAGAAACAAGATCATGGAGTCGTTCAAGGGGTTGAAGCTAGGGATTGGCACAACCCAGTTTACCTTAGAAAGACCATTGGCTGCAGTATGGCGAAAAACCAGAGGTAAGAAGAGCTACCACATAAATGGGATATAGTGGCCTGAACCAAAATTAACTGCAGTGGGGTTATCTGACCTTTGTAAGGATCTTCAGAATTGACATGATCAGAACTTAGGAGAATGAGTGCATTGGGGAATGAAAGCAAAGAGTCAAGAAACCTGCCCAGGTTTAGGAGTGGAGTAACAAGTTTGAAAGTACAGGTTTGGACATAGTAAGTTTGAGATGATTATGGGATATCCAAGTAGAAATATCGAGATAATTAAATGGATGTAACTGAAATTTGAGAGGTCTGGGCTGATGCTGGCGATTTTGGAGTCCTCTGAGAATAAATGGTAACTGAAGCCATGGAAATGGATGAGAGACAGGCCCAGGATAGGACCCTAAGGGCAGGGAGAGAGGCCACCACAGTGTAAGGGCAGCTAAGAGAAGTCAATGGTGATGAATACCACAACAAAGACATGTAAAATAAAGATTGTGTCCCCAAAATTTAAGGAAAAAGTGGTTCTGGTGACCCAGGCAGGAGCAGTTTCCTGACTTCACTGTGAAGGAATAACTGATGTTTGAAGGGCACACAAAATGTAGAGACTTAAGTTTTCAAACTATATGAGTTAACTATTTGAAGGTCGTTGATAGTAATGAGCCAGGAGGTTACCTCAGTTTCCTGACATGGTGGGGTCTGAACACAGGTAGGTTTGGTGGTAGAACTGGAAATTCTTCACACACACACACACACACACACACACACTCGTTTTTTAGTTGTTGATGGACCTTTATTTTATTCATTCATTTATATGTGGTGCTGAAGACCAAATCCAGTGCTTCACACATGCTAAGCAAGTACTCTACCACTGAGCCACAACCCCAGCCCCTGGAAATTCTTCTATTAGATAAGGAACAGATAAGGAGGTGATAAAGGTGCAGAGAAGAACAGACTTAGAGGACTCTGGTAGAGCTGTCTGTTGAAACTTACCAGCAGTATTGTTGGTCTAGTTGAAGTTGTGAAAGAAAACTGGTGAAGGACTAATCACACAGAGACGCTCCAAGGAGAGAGGCATAAGCAGATTTATGGTCAGGCCAGATAGGCTGCTCTGTGCAGAGAGAGCAGCAGCAACTCCCACTTGGAGTATTACCTTTTATAGGCCAGAATCATGACCGCCCTCCTGTTAGGGGCAGGTTTAACCCTTGAGACTGGTGTAGCAAGCATCACCTGATTTTGCAGAAAGCAAGTGACTGTTTCTTGAGAACAGAGAAAAGTATCTTTTTATCTCTCAAGGAGAAAACAGAGACTAGCAGATTTCTGTCTCTTGAGAATAAGAACAGTATTCATGAAGTGGGGGTGGGGAAATGAAGGTGGCTGTACTTATGCCAATAAGTTGGAGGTCATGACATCATTGAGGTCCCTATCTATCCAATCACATCATTTTATTGTACTTTTTTAGGTGGGGGGATGGGTACTAGAGATTTATCCCAGGGGCACTTTACTGTGAGCTACATCCCCATCCCTTTTTATTTTTTGAGACAGGATCTTGAAAAGTTGCTTAGGGCCTCACTAAATTGCTGAGGGTGGTCTTAAACTTGTGATCCTCCTGCCTCAGACTCCCAAGTTGCTGGGATTACAGGTATGCACCACCAGGCCAGAGTTATTGTACTTTTGATGCTGGAGATTGAACCCAGAGCCTCATGCATGCCCTGCACACACTCTACCGTTAAGCTATACCTCCAGCCGCAGTTACATTATTTTAAATGCCTGGACTCAGCATACAAAAATTGAGGGTTAATAAAGTGGTTTAAGTGATTAAAGACCAAAGGTGAAGAAAAAGGAAAAAGAACAAATGCAGGTCTAACTGGGTAGGGGAAAAAGTCAAGGTGCTGCATACTTAAGGCTTAGTAACAGAACTGGAGAAGTATCCAAAGTTGTGATCAGAGTGGGACATCTGAATTTACAATTTCTGAGGTATAACATAACAAAGACATGGTGGGGTCATGAAAGGAATGGATGAAGATTGCTGTAAGGAAGGAAATGGAAAATTCGTCTTGATTGCCCATTTGGACACTGAGGCCACTCCACCTGAAGGTTTGGACAGAAGAAAGTGAGAGCAAGGTATAAAAACCATAACTCTTTCCTGTGAAATCCGTTGAGAGTTGAGGCACTCAACAGAGCATGACAGCACACACCTGTAATCCCAGCTACTCAGGATAAGGTAGGAGGATCATAAGTCTGAGGCCAGTCTGGACAATTGAGGGACACTTGTCTCAAAAGGGTGGGGGGAGGCTGGGGATGTAGCTCAGTGGTAGGGTACTTGCATAGCATAGGTTAGAGTTCAACCCTCAGTACTAACATGGGGAAAACTGAGGGGCACAGAGCAGAACCAGAATTACAATGCAGTCATTTATAGAATTTGTTTTAGACAAAATCCTGACCTCCTCAATTAGAACTTTGAAGGTTGTAATGGAAATAAAGGGGACACTTGTGATAGCAGATTATCAAAAGTATCTAGCAAGTGGCTAGGTGGGTGATGGGAAAAGTAAAGAGGTCCCTGCAGAGAGTGCCTTGAGTGGGGGTTTGAGGACTTTATCACACCAGCCAGGGAAAGGAGGAAATATCAGCCCCATTCAGCCCCATTTGCTACCAGTTGTTCCTGCCCAAGTCTCTGCTTCTAGAGGGGACAAAGAGGGGCAGAGTGGGAAGAAATATTGTTTAACAGAGGAAAAAATGGGGATTATGATCCCAATGGCAGAAAATCCATATGTATTTATGCTGTTTTCATTTTATCTTCATCAATTTTGAGTTCCATTTAAAAACCTTCATTTTGTCTTAGCTTTACCAATGGAGAAAAAGGGGATTTTTTGAAGGATGTAAATTAGCCAAGAGAATAAATGCTCCATGTATCTCTGGAGCTGGGATTGCTATGGTTCCCTCCTGTGAAGGGTGCTTTTTGTTAAATTCAAGGACAATTCCCAGATTTTGAATCTGTATAACTGGAAGACATAGAAAGCTGTTTGAAGACACTAGAAAGGGAAGTATAACAAATAAATATCAGACATTCTAGGGGCTGTGGTTGTAGCTCAGTGGTACAGCACTCGCCTAGCACATGCGAGGCCCTGGGTTCAATCCTCAGCACCACATAAAAATAAATAAATAAAATAAAGGGGGCTGGGGGTGTGGCTCAAGTTGTAGCGCACTTGCCTAGCACACGTGAGGCACTGGGTTCGATCCTCAGCACCACATAAAAATAAAATTAAGGCAATATGTCCACCTAAAATTAAAATAAATAAAGGTACTGTGTCACTACAACTAAAAAATAAAATAAAAATATCAGACATTCTGTAATATTCCACACTTTAAAGTCTTATTTTAACATTCTAGAAGAATTGTCTATCTAGAAGATCTTGATTCCCACCTCCTTTAAAACTACAGATAATACTATGTGGACCAAAAACATTTTGATAATGCAAATAATTCACCTTAATTTGTTGGGTAGATACTAGAATATCAACACTTTCTTAATATTTATATTCTACCCTAACTACAGATTGATCAGGAATTATTTTGGGATGCAACATTTTCCTCCTCTGTAGCTTAGGGGATAGAAGTGAGCTTATATTCCATCTAGTACTATTTACTGACCTTTTCAAACATTCATTTTTTTCCCCTATGAAATGGGTATAGTAATCTTATTCTTACACTGATGATGAGAAACAAGAATGTATTTTGTAAAGTAGCTGGCCTAGTGGTGCACACCTTTGATCCCAGCTATTTGGATGCTTCTCTGAGAAGGAAGGTCACAGATTTGATGCCAGCCCAGGTAATTTAAGGGAGATCCCGTCTCAAAATTTTTAAAACGGCTGGGGATATAGTTTGGTAGTAAAGAGTGCCTGGTTTCAATCTCCAGTACTACCAAAAAAAAAAAAAAAATAAAATAAAGTCCTTCAACAGGCTAAGTAACAACTCATATCACTATAATTAATAAACAATTGTGAGATGATTAGAACACTGTTAAGAAAAACAAGATTCTTTCTTCACATTCTTTGTTCTTTACTTCCTATTTTTTAAGTAGGAGAGAAAACCTGAGATTACAAAAAAGTGACCAGAAGAATGGGAAGTTATACTCCATATATGTATGATATGTCAAAATATAGTCTACTGTCATGTATAAAAAAAAAAAAAGTGACCAAGAAACAGATGGCAGTAATTGTTATGTAGTAGTTTCTGTGACTTGCATTTAGGCAGCAGTAAAAGCATTCCTATTTTGTCTTTCATTACTTCTGTAAATTAAAAGTTACAGTCAATTAATTAAAACTTTTGCTCCAAAATGGTGTCTAACATCAAATTTTAAAAGACAAATGACAAATAATAATAGTAAAACGTTAATAAACATTTTTATTTTTTAAAAATTCCAGGTGATGTCCCAGTGTCAGTAAACTGTTCCATTTTTTGTACCAGCCCAGGCAGGCCTACATTCAGTTACAATAGTTCAGTACAACACATGAAGCATATGAAATGCTTCAAACATCAAAAACACTACCTTGTCTCTGGCATATCATACTTTTTAAGGCAGAAGTACTTTCTATAATCACTACTACAGATTGTTTCCCGGTTCATCTTTTGTTAACCAGAACTACACATCCCATAGGTATTCCAGTTAAGTGAAGTTTACATCCATAAGAACATGGTATCAAAGACAGAAAAATTTCCCTTTTCTTCAGTAATTTCAAGAGGCCTCAACAACCAACACACCTCACGACTTTCTTGAAAATAAAATATTACTTTTGATGAAAAATTTTATATCCTAATTATTTTTTAAAAATTCTTTTTAAGTTGATACTTAAAAGAATTTTAATTTTTAATCATCTTCCACAACTATCTGATATGTATGCCTTAAGCTTAATGACACTTAAGTTTTTAATAAGATAATCACTTTCAGGGGAAAAATGTTGTTTCATTTTTATTTTAAAATTCTGCTTTATATAAAAGTGTATAAATGTCATTCTGCCAAATATACTTCATATCCACTTCTAATATAGATGCTGCCAGTTAATGAAGTCACAAATATTAAACATATTTTACTTCTTGGATAGAATTATGTATGTGACAGAAAGCAGTAATCCTGTTGGATAGTTCTATAATTCCAAAGTAGTTGTTAGAAATGTTCATATTTTATTCCATTTTTTACTGTAATGTGATTATCACAATGTTGAACTGATGTCTGTTTAACTGATCATCATCACCATCATCATCTCAATCTTGGGAATTATCAGCGGCATCCCCCCCCATACAAATAGACAGGTACAGTGGTACAGTTTAGTGATAAAGAATTCAGTCTTAAGAGTATTCCTTTAGATCCTTTGTTTATATCACATTATTGTGAATTTATACAAACTCCCATTTATTGTTGTAAAACTGTACTATGTAATGCATTACTATACTATTACAAAATATCCTTTTCTGTAAATACATTGAAAAATTTCCTGGGCATTTATTAGACCTTATTTTTAGCATTATTCCAAATGCTAACAACCAGATATTTCAAAACCCCAAATATAAAGTCAGTTTTCTTAATTTTCTGAAATTAGTTACTTGAATGAAATTAGTTACTTGAGTTAATAGGAATTCTGTAGGAATATTGACCCACCTCATCTCCTTTAACCTTCAAAATAGTTAAAAACAGAAAAAAACCAAACCTGTTATAAATAACAAGAATCTTTCAATTCAAAACTATTGAAAGACCATAAGTTAGCTGATCTATGAAATTATACAAGATGAAGCTGAAATAGCTGAGCTGTTTTTTTTTTTTTAAACACAATTAAACCCAGTTATCTTTTCCCCTAAGGTGATAAGAAAATTGAAAATCTGCCTTTAAATCATGCAGAGATTTAGATTAACATTTTTCTAATTTCTCTAAGAAACTAAACTGTTTCTTATTTTACAATTATAAATAATCATGACACTCAAACTCATTGTTTTGTGGTCAGGTGTTTCTACTTTGAGACTAGATTGCATGGTACTATTTAGCCAAGATGTATTATACTGCTAGATTATGTATAAAATATTATTTCTGGTATTTGTCCATCTTCTATTGAAGTGCCATTATTATTGCCAGGGGAACTGAAAAAGAAAAAAACAGTCTTGCTGGCAGCCGGTGTCTCATGGACTACTTTCTTCAATCCTTTTGTGCCATAGTGTGAATCTGGACCCTAAATGAGAATAAAAGACTTATTAGCAATTTTCACTAAATAAGCACTCAAGTTACTATGACGTTGTAATTAGATCAATGGTCTATAATATTCATTATAGCTCCTATATAAATTTTATGCTGAGGCATTTAATGAAAAATGAAGTTTTTCTAAAAAGCTATCAATGAGCTCAGTCATTAGGGGAGTAGTGAAAAGGTTTAAGAAAACAATTACTGTATCCTCTGTCAAATATTCAGTTTCCTCAGATAAGGGGCTTTTAAAAAGAACTTTTCTTTCAGGATACAATGGGGTGCTGAAAGGATACAATGAAGTGCTCCTTTACTTCTTAAAGGAGCTGGATATTTTAGCTCCCAGATACCTTCCTCTGTGTTCCCTCCTTCTCCTTCCGTATTCCTTCTAGGGGACTGAATCCAGGAGTACTCTGCCACAGAGCTAAATCCCTAGCTCTTTTATCTTGAGACAGGGTCTCACTAAGTTGCCCAGGCTTGCCTGGAACTTGAGATCTTTCTATCTTAGGTGTGTACCACCATGCCCAGTTCCCCACCCCCACTTTTTAAAAATTATTTTATTTATTTTTAATGTGATGCTGAGGATCGAACCCAGTGCCTCACACATGCTAGGCAAGTGCTCTGCCACTGAGCTACAGCCCCAGCCCTTTTACCCCTTTTCTTAACAGAGTCTACTGTCAGTGATTTTCAGCTTCTAAAACATTGTAAAACACACTCAAGCGTGAAACCATGAGCTACACCAGTGCAGCCTCAAGAACATTCTGAATGACACTTACTTTGAGTGTTGCACATGCTGTGTAGCATATGTTGGGCAGGATCTCTATAGGTTCTTTGAACATGACCCTGAATGTGTTAGCAGTCCCATCACAACTAAATCCAGTATCATTTTGTCCGAGGGTTTGTTTTTTTTCATATTCAATGATCTGTAATTTTTAAAAGAGAAGTTATGTTTAAGTTAAAGTTATGTTTAAGCTTTGTAGAAAAGAACATGAAGCCTTTAGAGTAGCAGAACAGACCATTAAACCTCTGTTCTAGTCCTTCTCTACTTAACCTCTAACCACCAATGATGGTTTTTAAGCATGCTGTCAGAAAATGGCTGTTTATTATTCATCACATTAAGGATGAGGAGAATGTTGATTAACTGGGGCTGGTTATAGGAGAGGGGGTCTTTCATAAAAGATACACACACAGCTTGGTATGCAGATTTTTAGAATATGTTAATTTTAGATGTCTGAGGGAAATGAGCCTTTACTTCTGGCTAACCTGTGTCCCTAGGAAAATTCCTTTAGCATTTTCTGTTTCAGAGTTATTTATTGAAATCAAAGTTTAAATGACCTTAAATGAAGTATCAAGTTTGTGAATGTTCAAAATGTAAACATTTTGTCCCTTCAATTTCATTCTATCAGCTGTGCCAAGCACTGTGCAAGGCATCAAGTATGCTTTCTGGGAGCTTCAGGGTACAGCCAATTCAGAAAGAGCCATGCAGAATTCAAAGTGGCCAAACAGAGGAAAAACTGCTTCTGTTCAAGAGGGGAAACTCCATGGAGCAGATTCTAAAAACCCAAGTCAGAGCTTACCAGGTATGAGCAAGGGTTTCCACACATGGGAACAGCAAGTGCAGAACAGCCCTTGAAAATCTGCCTTTCTGCATATGGTAGATGAAACCAGTAATAATGAAATAGGCAAAATGCGATCTATGTGATGGGAGATCAGGACAATAGGCACTCTGCAGGGAGATGAACCGGGGGAGATCATGAGGAGGCCCCAGGTGCTGTAATGTTCTGTTCCTTGATCAGATACTGGTCACACAGGTATGTACAGTTTGTAAAAACTGTGCCATTTATGCCCCTTATAAACACAAACACTTTTCTGTGTGTTTATCACAGTTCAATAAAAAACTGAAATTAAAAAAACAAAAACAAAGACATGATATGATAGTGCCTGGGAAAAAAGCAGTAAGACACAAGACCTGGCTTTTTCAGTGCAGTCTAGAACAAACCAGTTTACTTCTCTGAGCTTTGGTTTTATCCATTCATTTGGGAAAACCTTGCTTTACCTAATTACAAAACAACAGCAACAACATGTTATTGCAATGACCACATCACTTTACAGGTATCATCTCAAAGAGTCTTCCCCAAACTGTAAAGTATTTATCATAACTTTATTGTCGGGCTGCGGGTTGTAGCTCAGTGGTAGAGTGCTCGCCTAGCATGCACAAGGTATGAGTTTGATCCTCAGCACCACATAAATGTAAAAATGGACACATTTTAATGTGTCCACCTAAAACTTAAGAATAAATATTAAAAAAATAATAATAACTTTGTTGTCAAATCTGATGAGCAAATGGAAAGATCTGTCCATATCACACCTTGTAGGCGAGAGAGGTAAGAGTCAAACCCAGGCAGTTCTAACTGACTTCAAAGCTAATTCATGAGCTGGGGATATAACTCAGTGGGGAAACATTTGCACATCATGTGAAAGGTCCTGGATTCAATCTCTAAAACCACCCAAAACAGGACAACAAGAAATTCACGTAACCTTTTTATCTCCTATAAAATGAAGACAAAGATCTCTTGAAAATGTCAATTCATTAAGCAATAATAATAAAGTGTCATTTATTAGTAGTACATGGATATACACATGATTCAACACATGCTTGCAACTATTTCCATGAACCTACTTACAGACTTGCTGTTCCAAAAGCTGTCTATTGGACTACTAGAAGTTGAGATGCAGTGAGAGAGACTTTAAATGACATAACTTTAACAGTCCCAGAAACTTAGTATCTTTCCTTAATGGTCCACAGAGTCAATATATTGTATAAGCCAATAATATAGTGTATGTGGGTCAATGGGTTTTAAAATCTTCCAAACCAACATGTCCTCACTGCTATGTTTAACACAAAGTTAACACAAGACTTTGGTACTTTTATCTAGTATTCTGAACTGATCCAAAGCTGTGTTTTAGGGTTGGAGTATACTCAATGTTAGAACACTTTAGAATGAACAAAGCCCTGGGTTTTATCTTCATCACTGTAAAAGAATACTGCCAAAGGTGTGTTTTAAGAAGTACATGGCTCTCCTTTTGAAGTGTAAGGTAAAGTGCCTCTCCACAAAACAAACAGGTGAAGACAACTAACTTCTACAACAAAATGCCATCAGTTATGTCCATACCTTCTACTTAACAGTTCATACTATTCTTTCAATACCTCATCTCTGGGAATAAGGACCCAGGATAGGTATTATGAAAATGCCCCTAGGTGTTTCTATTATATACTCCTGTTTCAAACTTACTAATATAGAAGAAACATACTGATTTAGAGGAATGGGCCTTGCCTACAAAGTTAAGGCAAAGATTGTAAATTGGTTAAGAACCAGAATTTAGTTTCAGACTAGCTTTGTTTGGCCTTCATGGTGTGAGTGTTTGTAAAGATTTTAAATTATTATTATTATTATTATTATTTTTTTTTTTTTTTTTTTTGAGAGAGAGAGAGAGAGAGAGAGAATTTTAATATTTATTTTTAGTTTTTCGGCAGACACAACATCTTTGTATGTGGTGCTGAGGATCGAACCCGGGCCGCATGCATGCCAGGCGAGCGTGCTACCGCTTGAGCCACTTTCCCAGCCCTTAAATTATTGATTAACACTAAAAATGGAAGATGGAGATTTCATATAAAAATCCACACTTCTGGCTTCTTAGCATCCTCGGGCTTTTATTATCACATTGCAACTACTAATAGGAACTAAGTAGTGTTTTAAACAATTCATTTCCCTGCTTATCCCTGTTAGCTCTTGTACCAGGCCAGCTGTCTCCACTAAAATTATCTGCCCAAGCCCTGGAGGCATTTGTTTGCCACTTCTGTCACAAAGCAATAGGGAATTAGAAGTAGTGTTTCTAGTACAGAAGACTAGCTACAGGGTTAAGAAAATAAAGAGAACTTCCATTTCTAGTAATTTTATTCATAGTATTTAGACTTCATCATTTTAATATACCTATAACCCAAACACCCTGGTGAGGTGTGAGGTGTCTGGTATCTTAGGTAATACATGAAGTATGCTAAAGGGAGGATGGGGTTTTAGAATCAAAGAGACTCACAGTGGAGCCCTGGCTCCCCCTGCTCCTGCCCACCCCACCACCCCAGGCCTGCAGATTATCCAATCTGCTAAACTGGGCTTAGGGATTCTACTAGACAGGCTCTTAAGACTTCATAATGTATATAATGTGCAATGGGGAATAAATGCAAAAATCTTTTTTTTTTTTTTATACTCTTCAAAGATTTGCTGAGGCTTTTCTGTACTTAAACATCATGGAATTAAGCTGGATGTGGTGACACACACCTGGAATCCCATTTAATTGGGAGGCTGAAATGGGAGAATCACAAATTCTCAGTAGCCTCAGCAACTTAGCAAGATTCTATTTCAAAATAAAAAAGGGCCAAGATGCAGCTTAGTGGTAGAGTTCCACTAAATTTGATACTTGTACTGCAAAACAAAAACAAAAAAAACACCATGGAAATTACTTTTCTAACCTGTTGAAAAACCTTACAAATAAATAATTCAGTGAGTCTAAAACCTGTTTATTAAAAAATATAACTTTCTAACTGGTATGTGACAACAACAAATTCACATGAATGATATAAATTTATCAAGTGAAGTTCACTAGAAACCTTAGTGGATAGGATTAGAAAATGAGTATAATGATTTGGTTAGTACAGTGACTAATGCAATCTTCCATTTGAAGCAAGGTCTGTCTCTTTTGAGGGTGTGAGGTATCATTTTTAGCTGTCACTGAACCAGATCTTTGAACTGTTATAGTCACAAAGTATAAAGCTAGTATTTTAAAAGCCAATAATGCATTCTGATCACAAAGTTTACCAAAGTTTTTACTATGAAAAATGACGCTAGTAACATTTTAGAGAGGGCAGAAATTTTCTATTGATAAACAAGAGTTGAAACATTTTTTACTTCCTTTTCTTATATTCTGTTTTCATTTATGTATACAAAATCCAGTACTGCCTATTAGCTTGCAAATATGTTTTCAAAAATAATCTTGCTAAAAGGGGTATGGAATCAAAAGAACACTGGTTTATTAATAAGATAGGGGAAGAAAGAGGTATTTTCCAGATTAGGTAATAGTGCCCTGTCTGAAAGAATCAAGTATAGTAGACCTAAAGAATGAGGGAGGGTCTGATAAGTGAAGAGGTGTTCATAGTAGTTGGAAGTAATGAGATAGTTTCAAGGCCCTAAAGTTCAAAATATCACGAAAAAAGCAGAAAGACATTTTAAGACAGTTAATGCACAGCAGGAAGTACTAATGGGTTTCCTGGACAAAGGAGCGCTCCTGTTAACATTAAATGCTTCAATGAAGGACCTCTATTTTTTTGAAACCAGATTTTTTTAGAACAACTGTAAAATAAATCTCTAGGCTAAAAATGCTAATAATGGGCTTTCTAATTCCTTTGATAATCGTTCTAAAATCTGGACTCCTGCCAAGAGAATATTTTACTGTAAGATTACATGTTTGTTACATTTCAAAATGATAAATTATGGAGGGAAATAGTACCTGTATATTCACTTGATAATCCGTGGGACCATGAATAGATCCATATAAGCCAAATCCAACTATAGAGATTCTTCTATTAACTGTGAACCTACGAGGGAGAAACCGAATATAAAATAACAATTCTGTAAGTGTTCTTATTCTGAAAGTTTATAATTTTTTCAAGTGTTACTTGGAACATCTAGTTTTTCTTATAAAAAGGAAAACTATCACAAGTTAATTATCTTCAGAAATAACGTGTTTACAAACCAATAATAACAACAACAAAAAAATCTTTCTGGAATATGAATTTAACAGGATCTTAAGCAGAATCTGAAGCCCCAGCATTCCAAACTAGGACAATTATCTCAATAAATATTTACTGAGGGCCTACTGTATTTAGGTTCTGGGCTTGGCAACGGGGAATAATGGTCAACAGCACACAGCTTCTATACCTATTGGCTTTGTGGCCTAATAAGCAATCATTATAAATTGTGGTTAAGAGTTATGAAGGAAGCAGGCTGCTGTAACACATAATTCTGATAGTAGAGGGGCTGGAGACAGGACCTAATTCAAACAGGTGGATTTGAATAAGGATTCCATACCTATAATAATTAGCAATTATTAGCAGTTTGATCCTAAGTGTCAGTTTTTATACATTTATAAAATGAAGTAATTAATATTTCTTATTAATTTTTCTTAACTAAGTACATATGGAACTGAGATAATCTGTGATTCAAAACAAGTAATTCTCAACATTTTCAGCCACAATTTCCATTATCATTACTACCAGCATACCACCACCACTTAATGAGTACTTCCTAATATACCAGGCCCCGAGTTTCAGCTCTTACAATACTTACTTCCTATAATCATCCTAACAGCCCTATACAACACTAGCTTCCTGTACTATTTTTATTATCCTAAATTCCTGAGGCTAAAGAAACAGATTTTAGCCATGTTAGGTGACACACATTTGTAGTCCCACTCACATGGAAGGCCGAGGTAAAAGGATTGTTTGGTCCTACAAGTTTGAGACTATCCTAGACAAAATAGTAAAACCCCTTACAAAAAACAAAAAAAGGAAAGAAAGAATGAAAGAAAGAAACTGACGTTTAGAGAGATTAACTTGCCCAAATCAAAAAGTGTGGCAGAACTAAGTGGGACACATCTCCACATCTGCTTGGATCAAATTCAGTTCTCTTTAATTATCATGCTCTACAGTGTAAAAGACCACCTTAAAAAACTGCAAATAGCTCAGTGGTAGAGTGTTTGCTTAGCACGTGAGAGAGTTCAATCCCCAGCACTACGCCCCCTCTTCCCAAAATTATTTGTAATAGTTTTCGTTTATGGTATCAAGGATTGAACCCAGGGGTGCTTAACCACTGAGCCACATCCCCAGTCCTTTTCTTTATTTAGAAACAGGGTCTTTCTGAGTTGCTTAGGGCCTCACTAAGTTGTTGAAGCTGGCTCTGAACTTGCAATCCTCCTGCCTCAGCCTCCTGAATCACTGGGACTATAGGCATGTGCCACTGCACCCATCCGTAATATTTTTTTAAGAGTATACAAATCAGTAAATTCTATTTTCAAAAATCGAGAAAAAAGGGCTGGGGTTGTGGCTCAGCAGTAGAGTGCTCACCTAGCACGTGCGAGGCCCTGGGTTCAATCCTCAGCACCATATAAAAATAAATAAAAAAAAATAAAGGTATTGTGTCCAACTATAACCATATATATGTATATAAAATCCAGGGGCTGAGGTTGTGGCTCAGAGGTAGAATGCTCACCTAGCACGTGCAAGGCCCTGGGTTTGATCCCCAGCACCACATAAAAATAAATAAAATAAAGGTATTGTGTTCAACTACTACTAAAAAATAAATACTAAAAAAAAAAAAAAGTCCAGAAAATAGACCGTGATGTAGCTCTTGTTTATCAGCATGCTTGCAGCCCCAGGTTCAATCTCTAGCACAAACAAACAAACAAAAAACCTTGAAAATTCAGCTAAACAAATAAGGAAAATTTTAGAGCATCTGTATATCCAGAAATAACCCTTGTTAACTCTTTACATTTCTTTTTCAGACTTATTCCTATGAACATATATATTAAAAATCATCTTAGGAGACACATAATATACACACACACAGATATTTTGTACACATACCTCTTTTTCATGTAAAACAGTAAAAAATGACTACTGATTTACTATATCTAACCAATCTCTTATTGAATAAAGTTATTTTCAGTTATTATAATTACTACATGATATTGCCATGGTTTACAGCTAGGTCATTTTATAAAGCCATCATTATTTTCTTAGAATAAATGCTTAGAATTGTTGGTAAAAATAAAAGGCATTAAGGCTTTAAATAAATATTGTCAGATTGCTTCCTAGTAAGATTAACACTTTATGCCCCAGAGTACAGATCATTTCTATCTCACTTGTATCATTACCATTAATTTCCTCTTGCCTTTGAGAAAATGATAATTGACAAATTCCATTTCCATTTGATTAGTAATTACGTAAAACTTTTGCTTATATGCTCTCTGCCCCTTAGATTTTTTCATTAATGAAACATCCACTCACGTGCTTTTCTCTATTTTCTATACTGGTGAGTTTATCTTTGTAATGCACGTTATATACAGTTACTTATGCTTTGTTGGTAATATCCCTTACAAAAAGTTTCACATTTGTCATTTATGTTCTAACTTTATGGTATTTTTTTTTTTTTTTTAAGATAGAAGAGAAGAGAAGAGAAGAGAGAGAGAGAGAATTTTTTAATATTTATTTTTCAGTTTTCGGTGGACACAGCATCTTTATTTTATTTTTATGTGGTGCTGAGGATCAAACCCAGCGCCCCGCGCATGCCAGATGAGCACATTACTGCTTGAGCCACATCCCCAGCCCTGTATGGTAATTTTTAACAAAATTTTTTTCAATTATTTGTAGCCAAATTATGATTTATGCCAAATATAAAGTCACCTACCTCATCCTTATAGTAAAGACACATCTGTTCCAGTATTTTCATTTATAAAGTTTTAATTAACATGAATTTGGTACATGGGATCAGTAAGGATCTAACTTTTTTTTTCCTAGTAGTTAATTCTTTCCTTAGCTGTATGATATTAAGCTCATTAATATTAGGTTGGTTTTTGAACTTTAGTCTGTTCCATTCAACACTAACTTCTTATAGATCTATAATACTTCTTTATGTGTGGTCTGTATCACTGTTTTTTTAAAGAAAATTTACTCTTCCAGATTTGTATTTTGCCAAGCTATTTCCACCTATCAAAAACATGTGACCTCTAAAAGGAATTGGCTAACATACACAAGATAATGTGGAAGACGCTGTCCTTATCAAAGTCTGATTCAAGCTGAAGTTCTCTAGTCCTTCATAGAGAGACTCTATATTATCTGTTACTATTGTGAATGGGGTTATTCACAATATTATAGTAATATTCAATATAATAAATAATATACTAATATAAGAGATTATAATAAAATATGAAATAAAATATTCATTCAATACTATAGCTGTGGTAAAATATACGCAAATGTACCACTTTAACCTGTTTTTTTTTTTCTTTTTTGGTGGCACAGGGGATTGAACCCATGCTAGTAAGTGTTCTACTACTGAGCTACATCCCCAACCCTATTTGTTTTATTTTGAGTTGCCCAGGCTGCCCTTGAACTTGGGATCCTCCTGCCTTAGCCTCCCAAGTAACTGGAATTACAGGTATCTGCCACCACAGCTCAATTAAACCATTTTTAAGTGTACAGTTCAGTGGTATTAAGTACATTCACATCATTGTACAATTACCACCATTATTTGTATCTTTGTGACTAAATTTTGATAACATACAGAAACAACAGTTTTCAAATATATATTTTATAAGTTGGCCACTGTTCTCTTTTATTGATTCTAATTATTTTTTTAGCTGATCCTGACGTTAAGTGGACCAACTAATCTCTTTAAAAAGAGTTCTACCTCCAAGGAGGCACACTCTCTTACACAAATTTAGGGGCACTACCAGCCAGGCAGCCAATTTTCTATAATAATCAGAACAGTCCCCTATAACAAAGAATCCCAATCAACTTTCAAAAAGTGTTATACCGAGGCTGAGGCAGGGATATCACAAGTTCAAGGGTAGCCTGGGCAACTTGGAGAATCTCAGCAACTCGGTAAGATGGTATTTCAAAAAAAAAGGATGTGCTTAGTAATACAGCACCCCTGGATTCAACACCCACTATTTGGCGAGTGTCATGCCAGAATTCATGTAGGTGATAAACTATAAACCTTGAACCTAATTCTATTTTATTTATAAATCAAAGATTTTTAGTGTAATTTTATTTTTTTTTTTAATATTTATTTATTTATTTTTTTAGTTTTCGGCAGACACAACATCTTTGTATGTGGTGCTGAGGATCAAACCCAGGCCGCACGCATGCCAGGCGAGCTTGCTACTGCTTGAGCCACATCCCCAGCCCTTTAGTGTAATTTTAATGTTCATGGATTTTTACAAGAGGCAACTACCACAAAAATAGAGGAAATCTTATGTCTGTTCTCATTATTTGTGGTAGTTATGTTCTACAAAGCTACTGTACACACAGAATTACCAAATACTAAACCATTGCTACCAGGGAAATTATAAGCACATGTGTATGTATGTGTATACATATGTATATATGCACACAAACTACCCATATGTGTATTCACACACACATACCTCTCACATACGTTATAAACTTGAATCCTAAAAACAAGGCATCCTAGTAGATTGTACGTTCTTCATTCAAAAGACAAAATGAAGTTCAGCAGTGTTAGGTAACTTGCTTGAGGCTACCTCACTAACAGGTGCCATAGCTGGGATTCAAACCCCATCTAATTGGCCCAAGACCCAGTTTGTTGCATTAAGTGCACTGCCCCACCTTCTTCATCCTGTAGGAAAGTTTGTGAAGTCTCATCTCTCCTGAGAACATGCTGGACTGACAACTCAAATCTTTGGCTGAAAATATCTAAGAAATCACTCCGAGTATTGATATTAGAGTAACAAATTTTAGCCAGCAGGTGAGTTCACAAATACGGAAATGAGAATCTACAGGACTAACTCAACTGTTTTATTTAGAACCTTGGTATGTGAGACAATTAATATACTACACCTATACCCTGCAGCTGAAGCCATCTCATCATGATGATACATATGTACTGTATCAGGTTACTTTAGTCTACACAATCAAATCATGTTTACATATTTAATTTTACTACCAATTACATTTACTTCTTCTTCATATTATAACTTGGCCATTTATCAAATTAAAAAAAATATTTGAAGCATTCTATGAATTTCATTTCAGGTTAATAAAAGAGAAATTACAAAAATATTTATTATAATAATCAGATTTGATGGAGTTGTGAGAAAGGCCTCTTCCTTTCCAATATTCAAGGCTCTAAATTCTTTATCCTTTATGACTGCAGCAATTCAGAATTACAGTAAAACTAATGAAAAATAGCAGATACAGTAGGTATCCCTATCTTTAGGCTTCAATAGCCTATTGTAGTAAAGAAACATTCTTTTAGACTTCATCTATTATAGTTATATCTGTTAAAAAAGGGGGGGGGATTTTTATCAAAAACCTTTTTGACATCTATTGAAATCAAATTATTTATCTTTTGGTATGCTACTTGGATGAGTTATATTAATACATTTCCTAACATTGAGCCATTTTTCCAGTTTTCAAATAAATTATTTAATATGCTTATATAATATTGCTTTTCTAAGGAACTGTCAGATTAAATAGCTAATATTTTATACAGAATTTGTTCTACATAGTAAAGTGAAGTGAACCTAGAATTTTTTTTGTCTTATCAGATTCCTATAGAAAGGTTATGCTTCCTTTAATAATTAACCAAGAAGAATTTTCTTCTTTTAATGCTCAAGGAAATTATCTGATCCTTGAATGTTTGGTAAAAACTCACCTGTAAAAACCTTGTGAAGGGACAGTTCTTTGATAACTTTTAATTCCTTCCATGGTAATTGGTCTATTCAGGCTTTCCTCTTCAGTCAATTTTGATAATTTATATTTGCCTATAAAATGATCCATTCCATCAAGATGTTCAATTTATTAGCACAGAGTAAACCCAGAATTAAAGTAAAAATCTCAGCAATTGACTATATTCCCATTTTGATTTCTAATTATGAATTTTTTAATTACCTCTGCCAGAGGTTTATTTATTTTTATTCATCTTTTTAAGGATCAGCTTATGGACTTATCAATCCTATTTTTAATCCACTAATTTCTTTATATTTACCTATTTCTCTTTTCTAGGGTTCTTTTGATATTCCTTTTCTAACTTCTGGGATTGAATGCTAGGTCATTTATTTCTTCTCTAATTTATTTGCTAAAAGTAGTTAATCATTACTTTTTGTGTGCAGCTTTGTCGTTATTCCCTAAGGTTTTATATATAGTATATATTCTTCTTATAAATGAGTAATAAATGGCTACGAATGCATTTTGAATTTGTCTTAACCCAAAAGTTATAACAGTCCCCCCTCAACTAGAGGTTTACTTTACAAAGTTATTAATTTCTAGTTGTATAACAAAGTGCTATTAAATAGCTGAAAATTCAAAAGGCATGTTTTATCAAAATTGGTAATGATTCTATTTTTACATTTAACCTAAATACAGAAGAGTAAAGATAAATTCTTCAACAGGATTTTATGTATGTGTTTTCATGATTCTTTATTTCCCCCCATTTAAAGAGATATGTCCATGTAACATCTATTCAAAGAAAAACCTTATACTAAGCTTAATAAAGTTAAATTGATTAAAATTAACCTTAATTCTGTAACAACAGTGTTAGATCAACTGGAGGCTAGACCTCAACTCACCAGCAATGGTGATCCAAACAGACTTTATGTAACAGAAGGACCAACCCAATCCTTTCAAGCTTTTTTTTTTAAACCCCAAGAGATGACCAGTGCTCATAATTCAGTGAAGAAACAGGGTGTCTTAATGACTTCCTGACTCATTAACTTAACCCCTAACTGCTACCCCACCCACTTGAATCCACAACATGATAGATACCTGATTCGATCACTTGTTCCGCTGTAACCCCACCGGCTCTCTACTTGCTGAAATCTATTGATGCAGCATTCCTTTCCTCTAAGGCAGCACCGTGGTCGGTCAATGTATTCCACTCGGGGTTTAGGATTGACAGTAAAATGAAGAAAGAGATTTACCACTTCACGATCTGACAAAATTCCAGATTGAGCAGGACCTGAAACAAAAATATAAATCTCAATAAAAGCCATGTGATTTCAAACTAATACTCCACTAAGTAACATGAATTCAATTCTAGAAGATGTCAAGTAAGAACAGAAAAATCTTAGCATATGTAATGTTAACATATATTTGAAGCTTCAAAAAATTCAGAATGTAAATGATGAAACCCTGTGGTAAACAGAAAGATCTCTGGATTTTTCTATCCACTCAACTCCTCAGAGTGCCACAGACTTTTGTTCACCAGAAAAGAATCATTCTCTATGATGGGGAACTACTTACAAGGGCAGCTAGTTACTCACCTAATGCCAATCTGAGGCTACCGTCTGAACAATGGAATATATTCAGCAACAGACAAGGATAGTGCCTTATTTCCAGATTTTAGATGTTCATTATAAAGTAAGAGCTAAGATCCAAAGAGCTGTGGAAGTAGCATACTATATATGTTCTGCTTGTTCCATTCACAGTTTCTAAGGAAAAAAATTCCAATGCCTTAAACTTATCCTGGAATAAATGCTGTTCCTCAAAAGGTTTCAGGAGATCCCTTCCAAAGCCAGTAAAAGCAACTGAAGTAATAAACTTCAAAACACTAAAAATTTGGTTTAGGAAACTCTTCTGGTTTTATTTATTTTTATTTTTTTAATATTTATTTTTTAGTTTTAGGTGGACACAATATCTTTATTTTATTTTTATGTGGTGCTGAGAATCAAACCCAGTGCCTCACGCATGCTAGGTGAGCACGCTACCACTTGAGCCACATCCCCAGCCCCATGATTTTAAAACTTGAAATTAAAAAAAAAAAAAAAAAAAAAAACTTTTAAATATCACACACAAAATATATTGGCATGCCAGACCTGGTGAGGATGAACACTCCTCTCTCTCAGAATGAAAAGAACTAAGGAAAAGGATTAAAATGTTTAAAATTCATGATAAAAGCCAGGTGCAGGGCTGTAATCCTAGTAACTTGGGAGGCTGAGGTAGGAAGATCACAAGTTCAAGGATAGCCTCAGCACTTAGCAAGGCCCTGTCTCAAAATAAAAGTAAAATGCAGCTGGGATGTTGCTCAGTGGTTAAGTGCCCCTGGGTTTAATCCCCAGTACCAAAAACCAACAAACAAAAAATATGATTAAAAAGCAAAGATCAATATGCAGCCAACTAGTGGTCCTAAAGAAATAATAAATAGGATGACACAAAAACTCAAGCCTATAGGAAAAAATTTCCTTAGTTGAAAAAAAGTCATCTTTAGGTCATGAAAAACATGTAACTACCTAAAAAAAGCAAAGTAACTATTAATAGAGCAGTAAAAACAAAATAAATAATTCAAGAAATCATATAAAAGGATATACTTAGGCATATCATCATCAAACTGCTAAAGACCAAAGATAATGTGAAACCTTAAAAACCCCAGAGAAAAAGTATACTTTTCAAAAAGCAATAATTACACTTCCTACTAGAAACAATGGAAGCCAAAAGAGAACAGAATTATATATTCAAATGTTAGATAAATAACTGCTGAAGTTCTCTATCCAAAAGCACATCCTCCCAAAACTGAAGGTAAGATAAAAGATATTTTTAGACCAAAAAAAAAAAAAAAGTGAAAGAATCTGTTTGTATCACACCTGTTCTAAAGGAATTCTGGTAGAAGCATGGCAACATAGAAAAAAATGAAAAGTACCAAAAAGGGCAAATATATTTGTAAATCTAAATGGTTGACTTTTTGTTTTGTTTTGTTTTATTTTTATGTGGTGCTGAGGATCAAACCCAGTGCCTCACACATGCTAGGCAAGCGCTCTACCACTGAGCCATAACCCACAGCACTAGGTTACTGACCTTTAAAACAATAATACTATATCTTAAGGGCTTTTAAAATATATAAAGATTCAAAATACATGTTAACAGTAGCATCAAAGGCTGAGAGAGTTAAATATAGTTAGTTATTCAGGTTCTAGTGGAAATTTTACATTTAAAACCAAGTAAGAATTTTTTAAAAAAATATTATCTATCAAGGGTAATCCACTAAAATAACAACACAAAAATGTTTAATAAGCAAACAGAGAAGAAAAATAAAGAAACAAAAAATCACTTGGTTCTTCCAAAATGAGAAAGGAAGGAAAGAAGGAAGAGGAAAGAACATAGGAAGATAGTGGATAGGGAGGGAGAAGGAAGGAAGAAAGGGAGGAAGAGGAGACAAATGGAAAAAAAAATTGCAAGATGGTCAATATAAGTCCAAATATATCAGTAATTAAATGTAGAATAGGGTTGGGGTTGTGGCTCAGTGGTAGAGTGCTTGCCTAGCATGTGTGAGGCACTGGGTTCAATCCTCAGCACTACATAAAAAATAACATAAAGGTGTTGTATCTATCTACAACTCTCTCTATATATAAAGGTAGAACAATCAAATATTCCAAATAACTAGGTTTGTTGGTCAGACTGGGTGTTTTAAAAAATGTAGTCTATAAGAGATACCTAAAATAAACAGATAATGTAAAACAAAGCTAAATAAAAGGATGGAGAAAATACAGAATATATAAATTTAATTTTTAAAAAAGCCTGGTAAAGGGGTTGGGGTTATAGTTCAGCAGAAGAACGCTTGCCTTGCATATGTGAGGCACTGGGTTCAATCCTCAGCACCACATAAAAATAAATAAAGATATTGTGTCCACCTTTTGAAAAATCTTAAAAAAAAATAAGCCAGGTAAAACTATCAATATCAGAAAAAACATTAAAACAAGAAATTTTACTAGATTTAAAATGGAATATATCATAAAGAGAGTAAATAATAATAATATAGCAATCCTAAATTTGCATCTAATGATATAATTTCAAAATACACAAAGAAAAAAAACTTATGAAACCAAAAAGAGAGACTTTCTCAACCAAAACTATTAACTTACTTCTTAGGAACTGCATAAGAAACAAAAAGAAAAACAGTAGATATATAGAAAATCTGTATATCACTAGTATATTTTTTTCATAGATATAGGATTATTCAATTTATTTAAGAGGTGTAGGACTGTTCATACTTTTCTCTACCCAATAACCCAGAATGCATTCTTCTCAAGTATACATGGGTTTTTATTAAAACTGGCCACACGGTGGGCCATAAAGCAAGTCTCAACAAACTTCAAATAAGTGAAAAGATATAGAATATATTCTCAGAAAACACTGGAATTAAATTGGAAGTCAGTAAGCATTCTTGCACAGGGAGACTGATTATTAAAATAGTTTTAAACAGGCCTTTAGTGAAGTGATAGCCTTACCAGCTGCAAACTCCTCAATTGTCATCAGTGGGAACCGGATTAAGGAAAGTGCTTTTCCTAGAACTTTCTGTTTATTTGCAAAAGTAACAGGTAATTGTTGTCTCTGACATTCTGCTTCTGCCCAGCGTACAACAGCTCCAAAAAGTCGACTTTCTCGAATACTAAGCGTGTCTCTTTCTAGAACAGCACAGAGTGTGTCTATAAATAAAATACAAAAATAAATCAAATAAGGAATATTTTGTTCTCTAACAAAGCAATATTGATAGACATGCTCATACAAAGTATTTAAACCTCAATGAAAAAATAGGTTACATAATTAAAACCATAGATTCTATGCCTTAAAATATTCTATATCTTAAAATAGCCAGGCATGGTGGCACATACCCATAATTCCAGCAATTGAGAAAGCTGAATAAAAGCGGGAGGATCCCAAGATTGAGGCCAGCCTCAGCAACTTAGCAAAGACTCTGTCTAAAAAATAAAAGGGTTGGGGATGTAGTTCAGTGGTAAAGCATCTCTGGGTTCAATACCCAGTACAACAACAAAAAAAGCTTTTTTTTAAAGAAATTGGTGTAAGGTTAACATTCAGATTTTTTTGGTAGTGGGGATTGAAACCCAGGGCCTTATACATGCATGCTCCACCACTGAGCTACACCCCCAGCCCTTTTTTAAAATTTAATTTTTGAGACAGGCTCTAAATTGTGCACTGGCCTCAAATGGGATTCTTCTGACTCAACCTCCCTAAGCAGTTGGGATTCCAGGCATGCACCACCACACCCAGCTTAACATTCAATAACATTCAATTTATTACTCACCATATATGCAAGTTTAGATATGATATCTCTTTGTATATTCATGCTATTTATTTAGCAAATTCAAATATCCCAAATATAATTAATAATGAATGAGCCACAGAAAAAGCTTCCAAGTTATCACATAAATTTATAAAGTTTACGGATTACAATTCATTCATTCATTCTGCAAATATTTTTTCCAGGCACTGATTTATTGTTGAATAAAATTAAAAATCCTTGCCTTTATGGAGTTTACACTCTTTTGGGGAGAAGCAGATTAAATACACAGAAGTAAATTATGTGTTAAATACATGAGCGTAAAAATAGCAAGGTAAGGGTGTCAAAAACATCTTAAATAGCATGGTTTGAGAAGGCCTCATATGAATCAAGATTGAAGGATGTGGGGAAGTAAGCCACAAAGAGGAGCACTGCAGGACAACGAGTGTGAAGACTCCAAATCTAAGTGTGCCTGGCATATTTGAGAGGCAGCAAGGAGTCCCATGAGGCAATATGGGGTGAGCTAAAGAGAAGTAGGCAAGGAGGCCAGAAACATGGAGAGTGGGGTACAAAATGTAGCACTCCACAGATCATCTGGCTTTCAGTCTGAGTGAAGTAGTATATTCCAGGAGGGTTGTGAGCTGACAGTTTTTGCTCTAAAAGGATCCTCCGGCAGCTGTTTAAAAAAAAAAAAAAAAAAAAAAAAAAAGACTATAGTAGTGGCAAGGTTGGAAGCAAGATCAATTAGGAGGTTCTTATACTAAGATAAGACCAGGAGGGCATCAGTGGATGTGATGAAAACTGATCAAATTCAGCATATATTATGAAGGAAGACTCAATACATTTCCTAACAAATTGGATATGGGATGTGATAGAAGAGAGGATTTAAGGATAATGGCAATGTGAGCACTGGAAGGATGAGAGTGGCATTATCTGAGATGGGGAAGATTATAGGAGGTACAGGTTTGGGGCAGAGGAAAGAACTGAAGTTTCATTTTGGACATATTGAGTTTAAAATCCCTATGTGACATCCAAGTATAAATGTACCTCAGGTCCTCACTTAGACTCTTTTCCTCTTATCAGAGTCAAAATTAAAATAAATTCAGTAATTTTTTAGGCAACAGCAGCCCAGAAGCAGTGAGTTAAGAAGACAAAAATGTTTTATAGGCCAACATACTAGGATGAAATAAGCTGCAATCAAACAGGGACAAAGAGAAAATACGTGAAAAAATAAATGTAAGTACTTTAAAAGCATAGTAGTCAAGAGTCCTACACACAGAGAAAAAAAGACTTAAGGGCTGGGGATGTAGCTCAAGCAGTAGCGCGCTCGCCTGGCATGTGTGCGGCCCAGGTTCGATCCTCAGCACCACATACAAAGATGTTGTGTCTGCCAAAAACTAAAAAG